AGGAATGCCCTTCTGAAAAACGTGTGCATTCGGTAAAAATCTCTGAGAGGAGATGCAAGAACAAAAACCTGAAATATCTGAGGGGTCAGGAGCAGGCCAACAGGCACGAGCCTCAGAGGAAGGCCTGAGTGTGCCCCTGTGTACAGGCCCTGGGCTCTGAGACCACTGTATCACTGGTCTGTGCTCTTAAAACACGGCCCCGGGGGACCAGCAGTTAGCGTAATGGCTATGTCACTGAACTCCCATTTAGCCGACCGCGGTTTGAGTCCTGGACCTGGTGGCTTAAACTCATGCCGGACACGTGTGCGTGCGTGCGTGCGTGCCCAGTATCCCAAGAGGAGAATGGAGGAGAAGGGATTGCGGCGTGGCCATCCCCCCTGGGGGGTGATTTCTCCCTTTGTAGCTCTCTGTCTCTCTCTGTGTTTCTGTGAGCGTACACGCCCTATCACAAAAGCCTCTGAAAAAACAAAACAAACAAACAAACAAAAAACACTGGCCCCAGCAGGTGGTGAAGTGGTTAAGGTGCTGGATTCCCACATGAACTGAACTCAGTTTGAATCCTGGGCCTGGCAGTTTTAAACTGACACGACCTGTGTATATGTGTGTGTGTACCCCAAATCCCAAGATTTGGGAGAATGGAAGAGAAGGGACTGCAGAGTTCTCACTTTCCCTCTCCCTTTCTCTCTCCCTTTCTCTCTCTCTCTCTCTGGCAAGCACATGTGTCTTATGGTAAAATCCTTTAAAAAAAAAAAAATCAGCACTAGGCACATATGCATACATGCCTGCCCAAAATCCCAAGAGGAGGAGATTGCATTGTGGCCATCCTCCGGGGGGGTGGTGGTGGGGGGTGATTTTTCACTTTTCCTTTCACTCTCTCTAGGTGGGTGAGCATTAAAAGGCATCGAAACTTCTGGAGTACTGATGCTTTGGCTTGAGTCGTTTTATTTGTTTGGTTTTGCTACAGAACATGTGTGTTCTCTGGAGAGACAAGAGAGTCAAAAATCACCTCCTAGAGTGTATCGCTGGGCTGTGATTCCTTCTCCATTCTCCTCTTGGGATTTTGAGCATACACACATGAACATGTGTGCTTGATAGGATTTTCAAGCTGCCGGGGCTGGGACTTGAACCACAATTGGCCATGTGGGCTCCTGTTCCCTTAACCTCTAGGCTGTGGGGCTGGCCCTACCATATTTTTAACACGAATTTTTGTATGTCATCCTTGCCAGTGACCTTTTAATATGACGAAGGCCTCTGTGTCAGTCCCCTTCGCCGAGCAGGAGAGCTCCTTTGCAACACTTGGAGACTGTCTCCTGGGTGAATTGTGGGGTTACAGTGCCCAGCCGTCACTGGATGGGTTTGTTTTACCCTGGACCTCACCATGAGTGGGTAGTGAGGGGTCACGGTCTCTGTGTCCACAGTCCCAGCAGCGGCTTTCCGGCAAAGTGCACCTTGGTTCACAGGCCCGTGAGTCGGCGCTGTGCAGCAGACAGTGTGAGACAGTGGGACATAGTGGCTGGTCCTACTGTCAATGGTCAGGTTTGCTAGGCGGGAGTGTGCCACGGCTCCAGATGCAGTTCCAGGCCTTGGATTCTGCTCTGGGCCTTGAAGTGTAGCGTTTATTGTCTGTTCGTCGAAAGCCTGATTGGACCTCTGGGCCAGTGCTATGTGTGATAGGACCAAGGCCCAGGACCCAGAGATGGCCTTTTTGCTAGTCGTTCATGGTGTTGGGAGTGAGTGGAAGAACAAAGAAGTTATTCCCAGGGTTGCTGGAGTTAAAGGAACTTTGTAGAAGTGGTAACTGACACGGGACAAGAAAGGACAGGTGCACAGGGGTGCGTCTAGGCCTGCAGATGGGGCCTCTGGGATCTAGGGTGGGGCGGGCTGTAATTGCCACCTGGAGGCAGTGGCCTTCTTTGGACTCATCTGGCTAAAGACTGAGCTGGTCTATACCCAGGCAGGCAGAGGACCTTTCTGACTTCTTCTAGGACTTGGGGAGGCCGCCTGCCAGCAGCTACTTCCTACCCTGGGTTCTCCGTGGGCAGCTGCTGGGAGGGTGGGTGCCCTCAGTGGCACTCTGCTTGCCACCCTCAGGGACCCTGGAGCGTCTGCCCGCAGGCCTGCACAGCATGGCTCCCTTAGAAAGTGCCCACTTCTCCACAAGAGGGAGGGCGCTGCTTTCTGGTGGCTGAGGCCGCACGGGGGAGGGGGCCCTGGTCCTGGCTAATCCCAGCGGGGCCTGCAATGGTGGCACATACCTGTGGTCACAGGTGACTGGGAGGCCAGGGCAGGAGAATCATGACGAGGCCCTGTCCTAAGTCCCCATCTCTCTGCCCTCCTCCCTCCTGCACTCACTCCGTTTTATTTTGTTTTAAAGAGAGATTTTTGCTGTAGGGCATGTGCAGAGAGACAGAAAGTGAGAAATCACCCTCCGGGGATCGGCCACCGTCAATCTGTTCTCCTCCAGTCTCCCTTTGGGATCTTCGGCCCGCATGCACTTGTGCCCAGCATGAGTTTTAAGCCTCTGGGTCCGGACTTGAACTACAGTCCATTACGCGGGAGTCCAGTGACGTATCCATCATGCCGTCTGCTGGTCCCCACTCTTGTTCAAGTCCTCAGGGCAGCGTGGCTGCAGCGTGTGGAGCTGGGAAACC